TATGATTACATGCCTCATCATAGAGTGGAGGAACTAGAAGGCCAATCAGCTGCTAGCATAAAACTAATTCCCTCGATAAAATCCTCATAGGATTTCCCCACAGATTTTTCGAAGATTGCAAGTATTAAGCTCTGTGTTCAAATACTGTTCATTACATTTACACGTTTTGTCCAACAGGATAATCTTTACACGATATTATAACTTTTACCACTTTTGGATCTTAAATGCAAACGCCTTTTGGATCTTAAATACAAACGAAATAACTAAAAAGCTAACAGTAGGCCATAAACGGACGACAGTGCCTTCAAGGTGCTCGCCTGTGACGTCAGCACCACCCTGCTACAGACAGGGTTGTTTTAATCTTATTTTCAGAAATTTGGTTCATGACAAAGACTTTCTCTCTCGATTTGGTAAATTATAATATACACTATATAAACAAACATGTAAAAATAATATATTGTTTCAGTATTATTGCAGGTATTAAACATGCATCGTTATTACACGTTTTGAATAGTTTTCCCGTGGGAAATACATTTGATTTCCTTTACAGTTGTTGGATGTTGTTTTATAAATGTGCCTGATATTATTATCATATGACATATCTAAATAAGTGTTTCGCCCATGTGCATATAGCCCGCTTACCTAAGTGAGAACCTAGCTATGGCAGTCCATTACAAATCCCAAATTCTTTTTCAAAGACGACAGAAATGAGGGATACATCTATTACAATCATGCCAATCCCATCATGGATAATGAACAACATTCAAAATTCTTTTTTTGTCAGAAAGTACATCGAAAAACAGCCCATACAGTCACTTATGCTATAAGTTTTAAGGTGAGTGTAAAAGAGTTTTGGGAATTAGTGTAAATATTGCAGTTATGACATAGTTAAATGAAGAAAAAGATGCAGAAAATCATTAGATGTACAGTGGAAGTCAGAACTATTAGCCTCCCTTTGATTTTTTCCTTTTTTTTATATATATATATTTCCCTAATTATGTTTAAAAGAGCAATTACATTTTCACAGTATGTCTGATAATATTTTTTTCTTCTGGAAAAAGTCTTATTTGTTTTTTTCCGGCTGGAATAAAAGCAGTTTTTAATTTTTTAAAAGCCATTTTAAGGACAAAATTTTATAGCCTCTTTATGCTATATATTTTTTCCAATAGTCTACAGAACAAACCATCGTTATGCAATAACTGGCCTAATTACCCTAACCTGCATAGTTACCCTAATTAACCTAGTTAAGCTTTTAAATGTCACTTTAAGCTGTATATCTACTAAAATATTACGTATTGTTATCATGGCAAAGATAAAATAAATCAGTTATTAGAGACAACTTATTAAAACTATTATGTTTAGAAATGTGCTGAAAAAATCTTCACTTTCTTAAACAGAAATTTGAAAAAAATAAAAATAAACAAACAGGGGTGCTAATAATTCTGACTTGAACTGTATGTTAGTAAAAAAGAATCATGTTAAAATGTCAGTGTATAGTTATATATTTGGACAATGTATTCAAACATTTGGTTTCATGAGAGCAGGAAAGAAACAAGCTGTACTATGTAAAGCTGTATCTTCATAAAAAAAGCTCTATTAAAATAAATGATCAACAAATGAATCTTGATGTCTGCTAGTGTAGGCATTATATACAAACAACATAAATGCCCAAATGGAAAAATACTACAAACTGTAAAATACTTGACCAAATAGTAAATGAATCCAAATGCCTGACGCAAGCTGTAAATTTAAAGTGGGCTGTGTTCCAAACAGATCAGCTCGATGACATACAGTATAATGCCTTCAACATATCCTCTAGTCTTATTTAGTAACTTGATAGCAACCATGTTTTTAAAGAAGCGTAACCAATTTAAAAAAATCAAGAGTGAGATGTAACTGATGTGTTTTATGTCATAGAATAAAACATGAAAGTATCTTGAGTTTGTGTTAACTACAAACCTTATTAAAGCAATTTAACTGAAATCTCATCGAATAACATCCGGAAACTGCTAAAATGCTACCTCACTTCCCAGTTTCTGCATACAAACTGACAAATCGTAATAGTTCCTCCACTCTATTCTGTGCTGCAAACATCATCTACTCCTCGGCAGCATAAAATGGCACACAGGGCAATTACTTTACCACAGAAAGTTGGTTGTTCATTTTGAAAAAATAAAATAAAATAAATTAAGGCAAAATTGGTGCTTGTTAACCAATCTGGTTAAGGATTGGACATGGGTTGATCACAAAGCTGAAGAGTGTTGGGGGTGTTGCGGAAATACATGAAATACACCACATCATATTAAGTATAATCTGACAACGTGCTTACTTCATGCACAAAACACATTGTGTGCATAATTAGACATTTGTGCTGTCCGTAATTGTATGTAATTTTGCGCATGCGGGTCAGTTTAGGACCATTTACACTGCAAATCTGATATTAGCCACATTTATAACAATGTGAACAGCTATGCAACAAAATCAGATCTAAGAAAATATCAGATTTGAGCACTAAGCCTTGCAGTGTGAACGTAGACATAATCTCATATATACAGCAAATAAGAAAAGACAAAGAATATTTGTCTTAAAGTGGTGAAAACACACATTAGTTGCCACAAAAGACTACTGTTCATCACAAAGATAAATGAAAACAGTTGTTTAAATAGAATTGAGATTCTGAGAGATTAATTGTGTTGTATTTCTTGCTTCAAGCTATGTCCACACGTGTACAGGTATTTTTGTAAATTAAAAAAACTAAATAAATAATAATTTTCAGTATATATCAAAATAACCTATAAAGTGCTTTCAAGAGCACGCCAAAGCAACCGAAGACAGTATACTCCATTCTCAATATACTGCAAGTCATGTTGGCCACATCAGAAACCACAAAAAGGGTGTGTAGCACTGCATTCTGACAGCTCTAATCCAAAATTAAGTGGAATTACTGTCAATGTATCACTATACATGTTACAAGCTCTGTTAGCACCGGTATTAGCAGAAGTATTTTGGTTATGTCAAATATTATGCAGATGACCATGTTGTAAGCAACTTTGTTTATTGCGCAAAATCTAATGATGGTGCAGACAACCAAAAACTCTGGTTTGGCTGGCTTAACAACAACACAGACCCTGGCACTTTTAAAAATCTTCACCCAAACCAAATATTTAATTTCAGTGACCAGACATTGCATTTTTGTGTTGACAAACAGTCAAAACAAGTAAAAAAATACTTTATTTTGCGGTGTATCATATTGTATATAATAAAGTAAAGATATCCATTAAAGAGTTATTTAAAAAAAAAAAAACTATCTTTATTAACCTATTAGCACAGTATTTTCATTTTTTTATTGATTATTTTATTTACTGACTGATTTAAAATCTTACAAGTTAAAAAAAAAAAACTATAGCTCTCTAAAAAATGTTTTGTTTGGATGAACCTAGAATGCTTCATAATTATATAAATATATATTAATATAAAGTTTATTAAACATGTAATGATTTTTAGTGAAATGATAAATGCCTTTGTTTGGGAGGGTTTCCATTTTGCATCCTAGAACTAGGGCCAGGAATCTGAAAACTTCATGAAACAGGAAGGATGTCAATATTTTTTTTTTCTCTTAAAATCTTTTATTTTTTGGTTGTTTGCCAGCATGTCAGAAAGAAATAAAACACGGATAGAGTGTAAAACTATGCTTATCGGCCACTTTATTGGGTACACCAGTCCAACTGCTCGTTAATGGAACTTCTAATCAGCCAATCACATGGCAGCAACTCAATACATTTAGGCATGTACACATGGTCAAGTTGATCTGCTGCAGTTCAAACCGAGCACCAGAATGCAGGAAAAAAAGGTGATTTAAGTGATTTTGAATGTGGCATGGTTGTTGGTGCCAGACATTTGGTCTAAGTATTTCAGAAACTGCTGATCTACTGGGATTTTCACACAAAACCATCTTTTAGAAAAAGAAAAAATATCCAGTGATCAGCAGTTCTGTAGGCGCAAATGCCTTGTTGATGCCAAAGGTCAGAGGAGAATGGCCGTACTGGTTTCAGCTGATAGAAATGCAACAGTAACTCGAATAACCACTCGTTACAGAGGTATGCAGAAGAGCATCTCTGAATGCACAACACATCAGACCTTGAGGTTGATAGGCTACAGCAGGAGACCCCAATGGGTGTCGCTCATGTCAGCTAAGAACAGCGAACTGAGGCTACAATTCAGACAGACTCATCAAAAAGGGACAATAGAAAATTGCAAATTGGTCTGATGAGTCTCAAGACAGAAGGTGTCTGCGACAGATGGTAGGGTCAGAATTTAGTGTCAACAACATGAAAGCATAGGTCCATCCTGTATCCATTCCTTGTATCAACGATTCAGGCTAGTAGTGGTGGTGTAATGGCGTGGGGGATATTTTCTTGGCACACTTTGGGCCCATTAGTACCAATTGAGCATCGTGTCAATGCCACAGCCTGAATATTGTTTCTGACCATGTCCATCTCTTTATGACCACAGTTTACCCATCTTCTGATGCCTACTTCCAGCAGGACAACACGTTATGTCATAAAGCGTGAATCATCTCAGACTGGTTTTCTGAACATGACAATGAGTTCTTTGTACTCAAATGGCCCCCACAGTCACCAGACCTCACTCTAATAAAGCACCTTTGGGATATGGTGAAACGGGAGATTCGCATCATGGATGTGCAGCCAACAAATCTGCAGCAACTGCATGATACTATCATGTTAATATGGACTAAAATCTCTGAGGAATATTTCCAGTACCTTGTTGAATCTATGCCATAAAGGATTAAGGCAGTTCTGAAGGGAAAAGGAGGTCCAACCCAGTACTAGTAAGGTGTATCTAATAAAGTGGCCGGGGAGTGTGTCCATTACTTGTAAAAGAAAAATGGCAATTATAGTTGCCAGTGGGCTTAAATATGTTAATCTTCAAAGCAATAACATTTCAACAATGTTACATTTAAAGAACAAAAAAAAACTTACTTGGCATGGTTCTGCTGGTGTTTGCAGTTTACTTGGACTGTAGTTTATTGATGTAAGTTAGCTGAGTTCACAGTGGTGTTTCGCTTAGGAGGCAGGAATCAGAACCAAGACCCTTTGATTAAAATCAAGTAAAGGGATCAGCACAATAAACATTACAGTCAAAACACAAGGTAGTGATTGGCATAATGTTCTTCACATTTGCATATAGTTAAACAGACATATGAAACAGAGCAGTGTCTTAAAACCGGAAAGTCATCCTCACCTGGGGGGAAAGCAATCCACAAAAGAATCTGACATATGGCAGTAATCTTACATGCAAATGGCACGAATAATAAAGTCAACCTTTTTGGATTGCACACATATAAAACGTATGTCAGCAACATGTATTTCGTAATATTGTATTTCGTAATATTGTACTACATCAAACAAGCTAAATCAATTCCAAAAACATACTCGCAAAAAATCCACTGTGAAGTGATATCTTCATACAGTGTAGCTAAGTGTATGGTCTCAAACAATAAACAGTAAATAGGCTACATAAAGAAATAAAGAAATAGCAACAATACCCATCAATAGTAGTAAATATTAATTATGTTCATTAGAAACCCTGCAGTTCTTAATAATAATTTTATTTATTTTATTATTACTAATAGCGTTAATCGTTTACGACACGAACGTTTACGACACACAACGCGCTCACACAGAGGTCTAATCCGTTATCTCAACCGGGTTTTCTGCGTCATTACTGTACATCCTGATCTATCGGCGGTGTAAAAATTACAGAATGACTATTAACAATAAACGATGTACAGTAAATACTGCTCAAATATTAACATGCAACGCAGCATAAAAAAAAAGTCATAAGTTAACTAAACCCAAGTATGGTAAACATGGTAAACGACTGTCCTCTGTTTTTCATCACTGATAATCATTGCCACTATGTGAAACTTAGCATATATTCAACGAGACACTCATAGAAATGCGGAAATACTCACATTTTGTTCAGTCCGTATGCTGAGGTTTTTCAATTTTCAGTAGACACTTCAGACGCTTCTGAAACTGAAAGTGAGTGACGCATACACTGCTAGCGATCTGATTGGTTGTACTTTTTTTGTTGTTCCGTTGGAAAACGCATGTAGGGCCACTGGAGAGAGTGTGTGTGTGTGTGTGTGTGTGTGAGAGAGAGAGAGAGAGAGAGAGAGAGAGAGAGAGAGAGAGAGAGCTCTATTCTTGAATAGACACCGCTGTGCCTGAAAAATAGCTCCATAATTACCATTATTATTACCATAATATTCATTTTTTAAATAATCGATGACAGACTTTTCAGTATACACAATAGCCTGCTGAAAGTGTTTAAACATTGACATCTTATAAAAGGAAAGAAAAAAAAAAAATAAAACAAAACAGGGCATCACACACAAATATTAGATTATAAGACACATAGTTATTCTGGCTATTTGATAAAATAATAATAATAATAATAATAATAATAATAATAATAATAATCAAAATAAACTTTAGGGTTGTGTAAAAGTGTCCAAAGTTGGGGTTTATGGAGCTAGATTTGTTTCTTTATTATTCAATCAAAATTATTTAATTTTAAGAAAAAAATGAGTTCAAAGTAATTAAAAAATAAAAGATTGCAAAAAAAAAAAAAACATTTAATTATAAAAATGACAGAACAGAAAGCAAAATGAATGAGCACACAATGAAAATCTGGTGGTTACTGCATAAAATTGCAATAGTTTATTTTTAGAAGTGCAATTACTATTATTATTATTTTTAATCAATTAGGCCTATGTTTTTTTATTAAATATATAAATATTGTTTTATTTGAAATCTTTTTTATGAAAATGTAGCTTATTTTGGTCAAAAACTTTATATGTTTATTTGATAAAGACACAAAATTAACCCTGGTATACATGGGTTTAAAAATGTTTAACTCGCAAGCAAAGATTCTAGATGTCTAGATTCAAAGATTCAAATCTAACTTCATAGGGGTTTAATTCTCCATTTAGATAAGATAGTAAGTTTACCTAATATTAAAAACAATTCAGTAATAAATATGGTATTTCTAACGTTAAATCTAAGACCAGGGTACAATCAATTTAACTCCTAAACTTTGTGATATTTCAAAACAAATCAAAAATAAACTGCAACATTGAAAAATGCACATGTATTCTTTTACACAATTATACCAATGGAGCACTTGTAATTTATATGAAAAAGTTTTAATGCTTAATGTTTAATGTTTTAATGACAGAATATATTCTGTGAGGAGTTTTAAAAGACATTGGTTTGATTTGTAACATTTTGCCAAATATAAGAACCCTCCGAAAATGTTGCCACTCAAATGAAGGAAACATATAAGCCCAAACAAATTTAAACGGAGGTGGAAAGATAATAACAAAAAGAGATTTAATCAACTGGTTACTGGAGTTATCATTGTATCATTACTTATCATCAAGTCAGTTTTATGTAAAATAGATGTTTTGGAACTTTACATTTGTGATCTCTGAATAAAAAAAAAGTTTTAGCAGAGATGAAATTCATAAAATTATTGAAGTAAAAAAATTACATTTAAAGTAAATACACAGTTTATAATTCTCAAAAACTGTTCATACGACTTATTATTTATTATTAAAATAATAATTATAATAATAATAAATAATAATATTATTTATTATTAAAATAATAAATATTTCAACTTAAATATTTAAATTTAAAAGTTAGGCTAGATGGAATAGTGCTACTTACTTATTGCTTGTTGTTAAACTAAATAATAATCTACATTATAGATGCTGTAAAAGGTCCCTTATGAAATTGAAAATAGTCACATCAATCTTTCACCAGGAGATTTCAGTGGACAACTCTTCCGTGCATAAAACCCAGTCATAAAGCAAAACAATCTACATAAGCTTTGTGACTAAAATACTTTTAAAAAACAACATTACCTGTCTAAAAGAAATACATCAGCCATGGTGTTGTCCTTGCACCATGCACGCATGGTTAGATGGCAGATCTGCATGAGCTGCTGCAGATGTACAAATGCCCAATTGTTGACAGAAAGTTTAGGCTACTTATCAGAATGTTGGGAATTGTCAGCTTGAAAAATTTTTAATTTGATAGATATTTTTTGTTTTGTTTTATTCCTCAACCAGAATATAAAAATACATGTAGATCATTTACTTTAATCATTACTTTTGGAATGTAAAGAGACTTTCAACCAACAAAACAAAAAATGTTTCTAAAGACAATCAACTACACCTTTAAATATTTGCAAACATATTATGGTATATGATTTAGAAGAGTCAAAAACATATAACTTTAAGAATTTTTGTAAACTTTTACAAAATGGTGCTGGCCAGATGTGTTATCTAATATTTTGACAAAAGCCAAACAATATACACATAAAAACATCCCTGACATTTAGATTCCATCATTGATGGCATCCCAGTACCATTTGCTAAGGTTTCCAAAAGCCTGGTAGTCTTTTTTTGCTCTTATATACTGACAGGCACGGCACGCATGCTCTTCAGGATAGTCAACAAGTTTAATTTCAAAGTGTTTCCTCCACTGAAAATACTTTTTGTATTCGTCAACATTCTTGTCCAGTGACAGCAGGTGTTCAGCCAGTTTCTGAGGGCTGGAGAAATCCTTCACGTGGATGAAAGAATCTTTAGGCACAAATCTCTCATATATGTATCTTGGAGCCCCAAGAGCCACCGGCACTGATCCAAAGGTGAGAGGATTGAACAGCTTTTCTGTGATGTAGTCGTAGTGAACGTTTGTGTTTTCAAATGACAGATAGAACTTGCATCTAGTTAGGGTTTCCTTGTATTGTGTATTATTTACTTTGCTCCCAAAATGTCTCCCAAGGGCATAAATGTCAATGTGTTTTTTTAGCTCATTAAAATAAGCTACTCGTTCAAGCTTCTCATTCCAGTGGCTCACTATCCAGCAAACTAATTTGTCTTTCTTGTCCAGAACTTGTGGGAAAATCTTATCCTCAGTGTCTTCATTTTTAAGAATAAATTGTTCACGAAGCCCAATATCAGCATCCCGTCTGTAATTCAGCGTCACATTAAAAAGGTTATCCAGACCGTCGAGTCGTCTTGTGTTTTCTGGGGACTCAAAGTGCATCCATATCCATTTCTGGAAGAAGGGTCGTGGCTTTGTGGGTAAATTTGACAGGTCATTTTTAATGTTTCTGTGATTTATCAGTACTCCATGAGCATCATCGTAAAGCTCTCGATCTAGAGTCAAGTGACAGCCATCAATATTAAATTTTGCACTGCAAGAATTTAGACCTAATTGTCTTCCAGATGGCCAAAACCATATGAGCAGGATAGTGCTGTTTTCCAGAGGCTTCTCTTTCAAAGTTGTACAAGTCGTGATATATGCCAATGTGTTATAATCAAGGGTCAGGTATCCAGAATATACTAAAAATATGTTGAAACCAACAGAGATAATAAGAACAAAATATACAGGATAAAATATAGTTTTCTGACCTGTGGAGGGAAAGAGAGAGAAAATCAATATTACTTTATTGTCCCCAAAAAGGATAAAGCACATTTCCTTATGTTCTGACAAGCAGTGTTGGCCATGCTGATTTTAAAAATTAATTAGTTTTCATTACTAGTTAGTTCTCGGTTAGTATCTGAGTTCTATCATTTTAGAAGTTACTAATTCCCAGCGAAAGTTGTATTGATTCTTAAGAAAAAAACAATCATATATATATATATATATATATATATATATATATATATATATATATATATATATATATATATATATATATATATGGGAAAAAAAACTTTATATTGAATGAATGAACATACATGTATACTATTTTATTGTTGCTGTTAGAGAAAGTGAGAAACTCCTTTGCATTGCAATTTTGGTAAGTATTATTATTTCTATATTGGAACAATAAAACAGATGGTTTTTCAAATGCATTGGACAAATAAGATTACTTAATCAAAATTATTTACAACATAGAAATGTATGTAGGGATGGATGTATGGATCTTTAATGTTACCACAGTTTAAACATTTATTTTATTTACTGTTAATTTATTACATTATTAACATTCTAAAGGTACAATCTAGTTTGAGGTTGAGCAGCCTTTTAGGAACTAGTTATTAATAATTAACCCTCTGGGGTTGGAAAACATGCAGGCACATTTTAATTAATTTGTTTATTGATGATCATGAAAATTTATGGTCATACAGGTGATAGTAAAACATATTTTAAAAATGCAAAGGGTCTATTTTTAATTTATATTAGCATTTAATAATTACTAACAAAACAATGATGTAAAATATCAAACAGGATGAATGCTTTCTCTATTCTGTCGACATGAATGAGAAACATGCAAGAAAATCAAGGTTTGAATCTCCATAAATATTTGCCTCAATTACATGAGAAAAACATCTGCATGCTTGGAATGTCTCCTTTTAAATGAGTTTACTCATTTTTTTTATACAAATGTTTACTGATTTTATAACCTTGTCTGTCCTAATTATCAGTAATGATATCTCACCTACTGAAATGCACATCAAATTATGATAAAATTGTTTAATTTATTATTTTTAATACAATTATTATATTATTAAAAAAAATAATACAAAACAGCTAAGATTTTTTAGAATCATTGTTTTACTGTAGTCTTTTGTATCTCGTGATCATCAGAAATCATTCTAATATGCTGAATTATTGCTCAAGAAACACCTAATTATTACAACAGTGTTAAAATCACATGATAAACGCTCTGGTTACTAACATAACTCTTGTTCCCCGAGGAGGGGAACAAAAATACTATAAGTGGATTTAATCCACATATGGGGGATTTGGTTCAGAAAGCCAATTGTCTGAAAGAGTATGTAAACGGGCCAATGAAATGCCAAATGAATTGGCAGCGTCAGCTTGCGCACCTGATGCTTGTTGCAATCAATTTAGCATAAAAGCAAGAAGACACAAACCTTTTTAATCTGAAGAGACTGATACCTACAGCTAAGTAACAATCATTATGGCAATGCAATATAGCATATCCGGTCCCCGAGGGGTTACGTTAGTAACCAGAGTGTTTCCCTTCGGATAGGGAACTTCAATGCTATAAGTGGATTTAATCCATGTATGGGGAAATGTCTGAAAAACGCCATAATGACTGGACCTTATCTTCGCCTCCGATGAGAGGATAGCCAGGCATAGCGTGAGCACTCCTGCATCATAGAGAGGTGTGGTCTTCTAATGTGATCCCTGGCCCTTACTTATCCCACTTCAAAAAAGATTTACGGATTTAGATATATTTTTCGGGAGCCGCAAGCGTCTATATAATTCTAGGAATTTAATACGACAGTACGTTGGAAAAGCATGCAATCCCGATAGGGAGGACGCTGCAGAGACCACCTGCTACCCAATGGGGAGATATGATGGCAGAATATATGGACTAACCCTGAGAAGGGGGAGTACACATACCTGTATAATAAGATGGTTAGCGGAGAGGGAAGACACGGGTTCGCCTGTGAGGGGGGATTGCACTGTGGCTGAATAAGCATATGCGATTGCCTAGTGGGGATTACGCATAGCGGGCACCTATACCCAAAATGCGGGCTGACCAGAGGGCAGACCTACAACGTAGTGGGCAAGCGAGTGACTCCTCCGCTGAGTCAGTGCTGGGGGCCTCGGAGGAATCTGCAAGGCTCACCTAAGAGGGGAACTTTACTAACAGAGTGAATTAGCGCACGTATCCCCGTGTTAGGGAGAATGGCGCAGCAAGCGTGTTTTAACACCTTAGCGAGTTGTTTCCTCAATCAACAAGGGTTACCTAATACCCTTGAGGAAACCAGCTCCACTCACAGATTGTAAAACCTTGCCAATGTACTAGGTGTCACCCAGCCCGCAGCTCTACAGATGTCAGATGTCAGATGTCACGGCTCGCCCTGGCTCTGGTAAGCGAGGGAGATGGCATCCACTATCCAGTGGGTCCTCTGTTTCGATAGGGCACTTCCCTGCTGAAAAAAATCTTAAAGATACTGAGTTGAGGTTCGAAGGGATCTGACGCAGGCTAGTGAGAACGAGGGCGAGATCCCAAGAGGGCATGAGTGGGGGGCGGGATGAATTAATTCGCCTAGCACTTCTGAGGAACCGGATGATGAGGTTATGCCTTTCCACGGTGATGACAACTACCACATCTTGATGAGTGGAGATGGCAGCCAAGTAACCTTGAGTGTGGAGGGTGACAGCCTGCTCTCCAGCTTATCTTGGAGGAAAGAAAGCACAACGCAGATCTGGCAAGTTCAGTGAAAAAAAAAAAATCAGTGAATAGACTCCACTTCAGGGCGTAGGCGCGCTCGAGGAGGGGGCTCTAGCCTGAGTGATGGTATTAATCACCACAGTCGGTAGGTTACCTAAGTCTTCTTCTCGTCTAAGGTCCACTCGTGGAGGTTCCAAATATCGAGGCGAGGGTGCCAGATCTCTCACTGTCCCTGAGAGAGTAGGTCCTCTCTCAAAGGAATGTGCCAGGGGAGGGCTGCCATTCAGGAGAGCTCTGACATCCAGGTCCGGTTGACTCCGGAAGAGCAGACGGTGGGCGAGCTGAGACATGCGTCAAAAGCGAATACCCCCCATGCAGTTGATATATGCCACCGCCTCCGTGCTGTCCGTCCTGACCAGCCAGTGCTGTTGCTCCAGCACCGGAAAAAAAAAAAAAAAACGGTGGAGAGCGAGGAACACTGCCAACAACTCGAGGCGATTGATATTTCAACGCAACTGGGTTCCTTTCCACAGGCCCACAGCTGCATGCCCGCAACACACAGCCCCCCCAGCCCATGCTGGAAGCATCTGTTGAAACAACAACATGACTGGACGCCTGTCCTAGAGGCACTCCAGCCTGTGGAAAAGAGGGGTCGTTCCAAGGGCTGATTGAACGGCAACACAGCACAGTAACAGTGACTTGGTATGTGCCCGCGTGCCATGCTCATCTGGGGACTCGATTGTGAAGCCAGTGCTGTAGTGGTCTTATATGGAGTAATCCGATAGGCGTGACAACGGCTGCGGATGCCATATGCCCCAGGAGCCTCTGAAATAATTTCAGTGGGACCACTATTTTGCGGTCAAACTCTCTCAGACAGTTCAGCATTAGCTGAGCGCGCTCTCTGGAGAGGCGCGCTGTCATGGTGAATGAGTCCAGCTCCAGCCCAAGAAAAGAGATCCTCTGCACGGGGGCGAGTTTGCTCTTTTCTCGGTTGACCTGAAGCCCCAATGGGTGTAGGTGCCAGAGCACCTCTCTGTGCATAATCAACTGCAGAGACAGAGAGAGCTCGAAGGGGAGGACTTTGTATTGCCAAGCTCGACTTTGCAAACCTTTGCAAAAGTGGGTGTGCTGATCCGGGAAGCGTGAGGGTCACGAGCACTCTCACCTCGCACCCAAGCTCCCTCCCAGCGCCTGTGAGCCACTGACGAAATGCACACCTGAAGCATAGCGTCCCAGGCTGGCAGAGTTTGGGCTGCCACATCCGGGGAAGTGGAAAAGTGCTCTTTCATTGATGTTTGTGTGGCAGTGAAAAGTACCATTGGAAATGGGGCCCGGCTCTCCAGCGGGGAAAGAGCAAATTCCATCTTTTCCGGATGACCTGTCTCAGGTACGCTTCGCGGTACATTACTGGACTTAACGGCACACTAGGTAGGAGGGCTACCTGCTTTCGAGGTGCTTGACACGCTCGCTTCACCGGAGGTGCTGGTGGGGGCAGGGCAGCTCTCGTAGGCAGGCACCTTCCGCGAGGAGCAGCAGATGTGGATGGCTCGGCGGGTGGAGCGGGCTTGTGGTCCTGCCGATAGATGACATTACATCAGACTGCTCTCTCACCGCCTTGAATTCCTGGGTGATCACCGAACAGGCAAGCCTGGGATATGGGGAAGTCAAGAAAGCAGACTTTTTTGACACATATATTATATATGCCAGGTTTAGCCAGAGGTGGTGCTCGAGGACCACTAATGTGGACATCGTCCTCCCCAATGCACAAGCAGTGTACTTAGTGGTCCGAAGAGCATACTCGGTTGCGATGCAGAGGTCGCAAAGCAAGCTTGGATCGGACCCACCCTCGTGCAGCTGGGCCAGCGCCTGCGCTTGGTAGCGCTGGTAGGTGGCCATAGTGTGCAAGGCAGAAGAAGCCTGGCCTGCAGCTTTGTAAGCTCTGGCTCCGAGGGAGGCAGATAACCTGAAGGCTTTGGATGGGAGACGAGGCAGACCCTGCCAAGAAGAGGCGCCACGCAGACAAAGATTGACCGCAATGCTGCCCTTGACCTGAGGAATCGACTCATACACCCTGGCTGCTCCAACATCAAGAGTGGTGAGGGCGGAGGGAAATGCAGAACGGGCAGAAAAAGGTGCCCTCCAAGACTGCGCAAGTGTGCAACTCCGGAAAGAAGGGGACGAGAGCCTTCAAAGGCTTGGCCCTCTTGTCCTTTACATAGCACCCATCTAGTCGGTCCGGCTGCAGAGCTGGGGGATAACCATCTCAACCCCACGGCTGAAGCAGCCCGAGAAACCATGGCTAACATGTCCGTTTCAGGATCCATTTTGACAGCGCTCAACTGCCTG